GGGGGGGAGGGATGTTGAGGTTTTTGGGGTGGTTGGATTTTTTTCTGGAGTGGAAGAGGGGGGTGGGAAGATTCATACTACTCAATTAGGATTTTTAAGATTATGGGGTTTGAGAGGTCGAAGGGAGCAGGGCTTGTGGCTTGTGTGTGTGCTTCCTTTAAGAGGGCAGGTTGTCACATAGGGGTGGTATTTTAGCATTTTATCAGCCTTTTGCTGCTGTTGGCAGTAGTGTTTTAAAATGCTTTTTCTCACCAACTCAAGATATGGCTTGATATTTACTATAAAAGCTATTAATGCAAAACCAGTTCTAGGTAACTTGATCCCTCGAAATTCAAAGAAGATTTTAAGAAATAGGAAAAGTATTTGAAGGTGAACAAAACCTGACTTCACAACTAAGTGATTGTCTGCAAGTAAATTACTTAAGACATTTGGTAGTTATTTCCTGAAGTTACTCTCCCTGAACCCCAAAAGCAATTGGAAATAATTGGTAGATGTGTGTGTTTGTAAGGAAATGGTATCTCTAAAAACAAACAAAACCACGCTTTCCTGTTCTGTCGTGTCTTATTTCTCTAACTTCATCTCTAGAGGCCTGTGGAATTCTAGTTCTGCACATACTAGATTTAAGGCAAGGTCCCATTCAGGTATAAGATAGCAAAGTGTAGGAAGGGGAAAGAACTGGGAGAACCAAGTCAGTAGAGGAAGTTGAAAGATCTTTTTATTTTGAGTAAATGTGTTCTGTTACAATCTACCACAGAGGAAAATAAACTTTTTATTTAATGTTAGATATGTTGGGTCATAATTGTACTGTCATGAGATGTGTAGCTAACTGAACTTTCTCATTTAATGAGGGCATTGTATTTCTGTCTCTGCTTTGGTGGTCATATGTGATGGGCTGGTCTATCATTCTGGGTAGCTAATGGTTCCTGTCTGTGGTTTCATATTCCCAGAACTGTGTGTTTTCCTTGATGTTTTACAACTTCTCCTCTTCAGTGCTAAAACTGTGTTGTCTTCGAGACCAATGTCAGTGCCGTGCTTATGCATCAGTTAGCAAAAGGAGTGGTTTGCAGCTGTTGTCTCATATACAGATATTTTATTTCATTTTTAGCTTGTTTTCAGTTGGTGGAAAAAAAGGCAGCTGTTTGTGTTATGGTGTGAAGGCAGTCTGAAACTCAAGGGGGTTGTTGATTTATTAGGTAGCTTCCAGCACAACACTTGTGTTGGTTGGTCTAAATCCTGTGCTGTATTGCAGATTGACATATGCAAGTAGTATCAAAATCAAGTTATTTGGTGTGTCCCTAAGAAAACTGGAATCTTTCAAAGCTATTCTTATTTTGCATATACCGTTCAAATGCACTTTAAGCAGTATTGTCATTAAATTGTTACATAGCCAAGTGTGATTTAAATTTCTCTCAAGAATTCTAGACATAGCAGCTTTGGATTTTCAAATTAGGAAAGCAAAGAGCAATTTGAACATGTAAATCTGTAAGAACATGTACATAAAACTTACTCTTCTTGATTTCAAACATCAGTAGTGTACAGAATGTTTGGAGATAGAGGAATAAAACCCTGCATTTCATATGAATCTGCTTACTGCAGCTGGTACCTTTGTAATACATCGTTAAAAAGTCTGATTCTAATTGCTTTATGCATTTATAGATGCTAATATGTAGTAACAAATACAAAATTGGAAATTGAGTATACTGTCTGTCAGCTTACTTTGAAGAATGTGAAGGACTAATGTTGCCTGACTGAAAAAGAAACTATATGACAGTCTTTCTGGTATAGGAAAATTTTATGCATGTTAGATATCTATCATGTTTTCCTTGTTCTTTAGTGTCAAAGCAGGAATTTATAAAAACACAAATATTTTTTCCTATGTTTTCCATTTTCTTGCCGAGACTGTTCAGTTTTTCATAATGAAGCTACTTTTTTTTTTTTAAGCTTATGCATACAGACATCTTTATTTAACTATTCTGATGGAATTTGTTTTTTTCTTTGGCTGAATTTTAGAGTATTTCAAAGGAAATGCTAATCCACTTGACCATCAGCAGAATAATGAAGAAATTAGTACTTCTGAAAACAACAGGAATAATGTATAGTACCTGTTGAGGAATAAGGTAGTTTGAGTAACATAAAACTAAGGAGCGAATGTGAAATGAAGAAACATTATTTTCACCCTTGTCTGTGCTACCGGTGATTTCCAAAGCCACCAGCACTGCATTTGTGTGTGTATGCATGCAGTTAAGTTCTCTTAGAAAGTAGTTATAACACATTAGGCAGATGTGAAAATATTTTGAATGTTGCACTGTAGTAGTGGCTGGATGTTTATTAATATGGTCAATATTCAGAATACCTCTTTTCTATTCTCCAGGGGTTTTGAGAGCGAAGCATAGTAAGAGGGATGCTTTGGCCATGTTATGGAAGTCAAAGTGGGATGGAGATTAGTGAACGAGTGGTTAGTTATTAATTCCCCTAAAAGGTTTCCTGGGATAACTTCTGAAAAGGTGACTGCCACTCTGAAAACCTGTTGGCACTTAGGCTAAGCTGCTTATATCGCCCCTACTGATGCACCCATACTCTCAGCTTCTTGCAGTATTGACCTATGTGTTACCCAAGTAAAGGAAGCACAACAGAAAACTCTATTCTTCCTTGTAGCTGTAAAACCAGTACTCATCTCTCTATTAACTCATAAATCCATGAAAAGATTTTCACAAAATAGTAAGTGTAGAATTTCAATTGCATCTTGATTTACTGGTCATCTTGGGAAGATTATGAAACAAATACTTTATTTGTCTAGCACAGAAAGACAGCTGCACTATGAGAGAATTTCAGGTTCTGAACAGTGTGTATCCTTCAAACCTTCTCTAACAAAACATATACTTAATTCAAGACATACAATAAATAACTGAACTGGACAATATATTAATATGAGGATCCTTTACCACTTCAGGTAGAAACTAGTGAATAAGGGTATGCTTGCAGTTAAAGGACAAGATTAAAAATGGTAATGCTGTTTCAGAAAGTACACCCTTGGGTTTTATAGATAAAGGCAAAGCATTTTTTACTTTAGCACTGAAAACTTGTTTCATAGTTGATATTTTTCCTATACTAAGGTAACAAAAATCTCTCTTGTGATACTTCAGTTTTAATCCTATATTCAATTCAGTGTGTTGCATACAAAAATGTTTTCTGTTTTGCAATAGCAGCCTTAAGTTATTCTTCAAGTCGGTATTTGATTGTTGATGTCCTACCGTAAAGAACTATATAATCAATGAATTCTGAGGGAAATTACTGTAACATAATATTGTTTATAAGATTTTTAGAAATCCTTTTTCTAACCTCTAAAAATTTGCTGTATTAAAATAGGTTTCCTCCATTTTTTGATGACAATCCATTTGGTATATATCAGAAGATTCTTGCTGGCAAAATAGATTTCCCGAGGCATTTGGATTTATATGTAAAGTAAGTCCATGACTCTAAACATTGTCTTTTATGTTCTAAATACCTTCTGAGCACTGTTTCTAAAGGATCTTCATAGAAACCAGATACCAGATTTTCTAAAACACTGTGTTGGAAAATAGGTTATGTTTACTCTTGCAGTCCCAGTAAAACTATGTTTGGTAGACTGGAGATGCAGCAGTAAGGTAGTATCTGCCTTTCTTACTCTTCTGCATATTTTGGAATATTAAATGCTTCTTCACCATGTAAAAAGCTCATTGCTACCAGTTTGGTGTGTGGAAGGAAAAAGAGGGGAGAAATTTGAGGAGATAATTTAATATGAATAAAAAATAGGCAGGAAGTAAACACTAAACTGTTCCTTTGTATGCGTATGTACCTGTTAAGTCACTCTCCTTGTAACTGCTTGAATGAACTTTCTGATACTTCAGAAGTTCCAGTGTAAAGTCAACTTCCGCGTCTGGTAGCAGGGCCCCAGTTCAGTATGCAGTCTTATATGTGCAGGTGTGGGTTTTATTCATAGTATTTTGCAACCGTTACAGGTCTCTTGCAGATGAAATGGCTTTTTTTTTCCCCCTTATTTAACAATTCCGTAATTGAAATAATTGTTAGTAAATCAGAGGAAGTGCAATTTTAAATACGAAGTTTCTCCTCGGAAGCAGAGATAATTGGGTGAGTGAGAACAGGAAGTTATTCTTATCATTCAAGGTATTTTGAAGAAGTAACCTTAAAGTTAGCACGCACTTACTGTCACCTCTGGATAAATAGATAAAATGTAGTATCGCAAATCTAATTAAATTGTCCAACTTTTTCTGAATTTTTATGAATTCTCGTGCAAAACATTTGGGGAGGATTTTTTAAGCATTGAATCATCAGGTGCAGTGAATCAAACATGTTTACATCACTTTGGGCTGATTAGTGTCTCCTATTTGTGTCTGTTCTTAACACAGTTTTCCCTTACTATCTAGATGCTCTTTCCAGTTTAACGTAGTCTCGTCTGGTCTTCCTGACCGTCTGTCTTAGGACGAAAACTGAGTTTCTCACATAATATTGTGTGCACTAAAGTACAAGAGTGTGACCAGAAGATGAACAGCTCAAATTAGGTTATTATTGCTAGCAATCTTTCTAACATGGTGAAAGCATTGAAAAGTAGAGGTGCTGTTAGTTTTTATTTGTACTTGACATTCACAGACCATTACTGATTTCTGCTCTCCAAAAGATCCCTGATTCTGTGAAGTTTCTTAGTTATTGTAGTAAGAATGCATATGCAGAGTTTGCACTTCAGTCTAGACATTACTGTCAATGGATTGCAGGGTACATTAGTCAACATAGTTGTTGATACACCTCTTTTCCCAGCTTTTCTTATCCAGATGATCTTTCAGTGTGCTTGGCAGCTCATTCCCATTACACTCCTGCCTTTAAGGGGTCTCTTGGGATTCTAGCTTGGGCTTCCTTCCTTTCACACCTTGGTTTTGGGTGATGTCATTCATTGGTGTAGTTTCACCTACTTCCTGCAATGAGTTGTTAGCATAATGTGTATCTCTTGCTCCATCAACTCCTCTTCATTTTTTAACTACAATATGCAGAACTGGGTAGTCTTTGACATCTCTGCATGTTAGCTTAAAGCAAGTGCCGAAATTCTTTTGTCCTAAGACAACCATCTGCTTTTTAACTTATTTATGTCCTATTTGCTTTCTCTCTTCTTCCTTATCTGTTGGTTTCTCAGGAAGGATGAAGACTGTCTTGGGTCCTGTCACATCCAGGCTATTGTCTGAAGTATTAGTGCTATACAGGGTTTATAAAAATTGAATTTTAGCCCTCTGCTCTTAGGCACCAAAACTTTTTTCCATTTTGAACTTCATTTCCAAATGAAACCTCAGTGCTAAAGCAATCTAATGACAGTTGTTCTGGAAAGACCTTGATCCAGAATTTCATTCCCCGGATACATAGTGAAACATACCTATTGGATTGACTTTCACATAGAAACATAGAACAATTTGAATTGGAAGGGACTATAAAGATCATCTCGTTCCAACCCCCCTTCCATGGTCAGGGACACCTTCCTCTGAATTATTCTTTAGAAACCGCATAGTAAAGCGGCAATAAACTACCTACTACCTGATTCAATTTAATGGACTTTGTTTTCTTTTGAATGCAGCATCTCCATCTTTAGTGACAACACAGTATCACTGAAAAAGCTCATCCATTAACTGTGCATTTCAAAGATGAATTTTTGAAGCAAGCCAGGAATCGTCCACTGTCTGTTTTCTGGTTATATAGGAATAGGAAACTCCATGATTTATCTTTGGCCATATACCCTGTGAATTTAGTTCTGGGTTTCTGGATTTCTTTTCAGTCCCACTTCTGTTTTAAAGTCTGGTTATAGACCAGACTGTAAAAGTAGTCAGTCACATGATTTAGTCTAATCCAAACATGGATTGGCTGAAATGAACATGAGAGTTTTAAAAATTGCTTTCTACCTTGACGTTTTTATTCTCCTTTTATCTGCCAATTGAATATTTTTCCTATTGAATTGTAGAACTATATTCCTGCCAAATACAACTGTGTTTCAGTCTAGCGGGTTCACTCAGTTCATATATTCTTTGTTCATATGCTTTTGTGATTTCAAGGGTAGGTGACAGAATACTGGTTTTGTTTGGGGATAGAAGATGTTACAGTTAGGGGTGAAGAGAGGCAGGTGTGTCGTTAGTAAGTTTTCATTCATTTCTGTAAGTAAAGTTGTTGGGATTTTTTTAAACCTTCTGCAAAGTTAAAAATTGGAATTAGCTATACCCTGTAGATCCCCAGCATTTCATGCAGTACTGCATGTCTCAGGACTGTTTGAGGCTGTAGAAACAGAAGGGTGGCTAAACTTTTGTTCTTTCTTGTCATTGCACTTTATGCAATGAGACCAGAATGCTATTATTCTAAAAATAAATAGCACAATAATCTTTGAGATAGAAAGTAACTGCTGATAGAAATGTGAAGCCAAATTTTTCTCTCAACTCATAAGTAATCAAGCAAACTCAATAAATCAAAGTGAGTATCACAATTTATGTTGGAGTTTTTTGGTGCTGAATATTTAAAGTACTTTGCTTTTAAAATGGAAGTCCTTTTATGTCTCTAAACTTACATTCATCTTCTAAAATGTTGATTTGGGTTTATGTAGAACTGTTCAATGAACTAGACTCTCAGGGGAGGCATTTAATTTTCAATGAAATTAAAGCTTATAGATATTATGTACTAGTTTTAGGCAGATGACTAGCTCTTCTAAGATTTCTCTGAATGGTTAGCTCCCACATCAATGTATAAAGTTGAGGGTGTGGCTATATCTGTATTTTTGTATCTATTAAAGTTGTGTTCTGCCAAATAGGTTTGAGATCTATTTTGAGATTTGGAATGCCCAGAAAATCCAAAAACACAAAGAAAGATACGGTATTACTGGGGGAGACAGGGGAGGAGAGAGAGACAAAGTTTTTTCTCTTTTGTTTCTTGGAAGAGTCTAAAATGAACTTGTAAAAATTCTGCATGTTCCTTTCAGAACAGATTATTCCTTTTTATCATTCACTCTTGTGTCCTAAAATATGAAGGAATTGAACGAGTAAATTATACACAGTATTAACTAGTCAAAGGGAAGTATGCTCATATTCTGTAACATTTTTTTTATGACAGGCAAATACAAATTGCTTTTGTTTAACAGAAGATATGTTTTCTTTACTGCAGAGACCTTATTAAGAAGCTGCTTGTGGTTGACAGGACAAGGCGATTAGGAAATATGAAGGTCAGTATAAAATGTTAGCTGTAATGCAGAACACAGCAAAAGGCTGAAAGATACTATAGGAAAGATGTAGAACAGGTCTTCTGTGGCTTTTGTTTTTATAAACATGAAAGTGAGAGATATTTTCGCATACATTACTTTGGTTGTGAAACCTTAAATGGAAAGTTTAACTGTATTTATGGAAATCATACTGCTGTTGTCTGGATTAATGGTATTACTACTGACAGTTTCTACCCCATCCTCACCAGTCCCTCCACCCCCCTCAAAAAAAAAAAAAAATCCTACCTGTTCACTGATTGATTTGAATACTTACATTGGACTAGAAACATGGTTCTACGTCCTGTAAGGATAGGGCACCAGATGATTTGGTTTTTTATTTGGAGTTTAATCCCAGAAGGAGCACTAATTAAATTTAAAGCTTTAAAGCTATTTTATAAGGGTTGCTTTAGCACGTTGATGTTTGGTCATTGCCCTGACAGTTTGCTGGGGGAGCTGATTAAGCACAGTCAGATAGTCTTCCACCAAGAAGACTTGTTCATACTATTCTGAACAGACTCTGAAGGCAATAGCTCACTAGTCGAAAATCTGCTCGTGAGGCTCTGGTAGCGTTCTGGCCTACCTCAGACATACATCTCTATCGGCGACATACCAAGAAGGCGTACAAAGAGACCCTGTGAATTTTGTGAGATGTCCTGATATGGTACTACTTGTAATGTCGAGACGATGACAGCTGTATGACAAGCTGATTTGATTCTGCAGCTGTGCAGTAGCTGTGGTTGGTAGCGCAGTGAGAAGTTAGCTGCGTGGGAACTAACGCGGGTACTTTAACAGGCTCACCTGAGCGCCGCACGAAACTGAGCGCAGGTTAATTTACCCTTCTGGCAGAGTAAGTTAGTCCTGTATTTGTTGACTTGTAGTTGTTGTTACAGTGTTGCAGATACCTAGATTAGCTTGTATAATCTTTTAGTTCTTTAGAGGCAGCTAAAATTTCCATTTCTCTGAGAGGTTAGAGGCTTGCTTTTTGCATAAAGCACAATTTATGTTGAACATAGTTGTACGTAAAAGTTCTTGAACATATTGTTACAAGTATAGATGTAGCACCTGCTGTCCAAAGTTCGTTTTCAGAGCCTTTTAGGGCACAAACTTAGGCTGGTAAGAAAAGCTAGAAAATAAATGTTTTTGTTATCCTTCAGAATTGTTTGTTTTTGAGGGTGGAAGTAGGAGGATTAAAACTGAACTTTCGTAAGATGAAAATTTAGAAAGCTACTAACAGTGAAAACTTGTATATCTTTTGACAGTTTTGAAGGAAAAACAAAAGCAAACCTTCATTTATTCAAACATGGGTTTTGGAAAATGTGTTTGTTTGGCTTTTGGGTTGGTTGGTTTGTTTGTTTTGAGATTTTTTTAGTCTGTGGTTGTTTTGATTAGTTTTGAGATTTTTCCTTACAATTGTCTGAAATGTCACAATCTAAAATATTTCTAATTAGAAGCGGGATTTGGCGTGGGGGCTGTAGGTCAGTCTTAAGTCTGATCCTTTTCCATAATCATAGTTGGTTTACAAAGATTTAAATCCCATTGGGTATTTTCTGGTGAAGTATTCAATCAGATCTGCTTTTGAGGGACCTAAGTGATAAATTATGCTCCTTGTTGCCTCTTTGCATATGAGCATGGATAATCCCACTGCATATAAATTTGAAAAAAACAAATGTGTGGTATGCTTCGTTCCGTGGAGCTGCATGTGGTATGAGCTCGATTTCTGTGCATTAAAACTATGCTGTGATCAGGCCTGAGACAGACAACCAGCTGTTTTTCCCCAGTGCTTAATGCCTTGAGAATGAGTCTGTGCTTGAGCCAAGCTTCAGCCGGAGGGGGGGAAGGGGGGAGACATTTTTCTTCCTAAAGACATTTTTGTTCTTTATGTACATAATCAAAACAGTCAGCTCAGAGAGAATAATCATTACAAGACAAATATGCCTTTAACCGTATATCTAAAATAAAAACAAATGGGTTTTTTATATATATGCTTTTGTAACAGAACTGAGGACCTCTTGTTGGTACTAAACATCTGTAGTATTTGATAGAACTAACTGCTTGATTTTCATTTAAGATACCTTCAAGGCTCAGTTGTTTGTTGGTTTGTTTTTTCTTAATTAGTGTAAGAATTGGAAAATAAATGAGTAAGAGGCATTCTTTAAAATGTTGGAGAAAATGGAAGTGAATAAAACTGCAGTAAATGGTTTTGTGGGTATTTTGAAGCCTATTCATCTCCCTTGTGTCAGGAGAATGCTGCTAAAATAAAGGCATTTGGATCATGCTGCTGGAACTTGGGATCTGCTAGGGAAGTAACACTGAATATATTCTGTAGAATCTTTTAATAATTATCACCTGAACAAAGAAGAAAGGTTAGAGGAACCATTAATCTGTCTTGATATCACAGTTCTTACGGTGAAATACATGGTTTGGCATACATATAACTTAATAAATATTTATTTTGAACTTTTCTTTAAAGAATGGGGCAGATGATGTGAAGAGACATCGATGGTTCAGGTCTATAGATTGGGATGCTGTACCTCAAAGGAGACTAAAGGTAAATCTTGCAAAATACTGTGTGGGACATCGCAACAAGAAATTGTTTATTTAAGCTGATCTGTTGAGGTTTTGTTGTCAGTTGCATCTGTGTGTTCATGTGTGTGTATGAGTGTGTGTGTATATGCACACATCAATAATTGGAATTGTCGAATCATAGAATGGTTTGGGATGGAATTACATAGAATTACATGCTGGTTTGTTCTTTTACACATCAGAATTTCCGATATGAAAATTTACTTGCATTTTTTGTCTATATACAGAATGTCAAAAAAAAATTCACTGCTTTGTTTTGCTAAAGTTGATAGTTAATATACATTTCAGGTTTAGGGTTTTGTAAGTAACTACCTTCTTGGAGGGCTTGGGGGAGGACTGGTGGTGTTTTTTGGGGTTTTTTTTCCCTTTTTTTTTTTTTTTCCTTTGCCCTTATATCTGTGGAAGTATTTTACTCTGGCTTTTAGACTTCTGTGCCAAGTTCAATTCAGGTAAATGCTTTCGTAAAATATGAAGCATATGGGAGTAGGAGGAATAGGGAAGGTGAGAGAGAAGGATTTATGAATGTAATTCTAACATACTATTTAATAGCACTGAATTCTAGTATTATATGGGAGCATATGTTTGCAAAAACTACGAACACTGCAAAAGGCTTTTTAAAGTCCTTTGGAAATAAAACTGCCTTACTCTTCCCCCCCAAAGTTCTAACTAATGTATTTTCTTACAGCAATGATTTTCGGTAACATAGGTTGCCATTTGCAGTCAGTCACATGCCAATCAAATGTTTGTTTTTTCTTTCCACTGATGAAGAGATTGAAAATATGAAATAATGGATACAGTGCTCCATTTTCCCTGTAAAAAGTGTGAATTTGCCTATTGTATAAATGAAGCATTGATTCATGGTCCTGATAAGATCTTAAGTATCAGTATTATAAAAATAATAGTGATGGCTGAAAGAGAGAAAATAATTTTGTTACTCTCTCTCTTTCTTTTTTTTTTCCTCCCCCCTCTTTTTGTGTCTCACTTCATAAAGCTGGTTTTCCTGCCAAAACGCTTACAGGCCTGTGGAGGTACCAGGCATTGCACACAGAGGAGCAGATAGTTCTCTGGAGCAGAGCAGGTTCTACTCATTGTCTTAAGCACCTGGGCAGTGTGCTGGGACCACTGCATTGCAGAAGTAGGGCTTTGCTTTTGGCCGAGGCTTAGAAGTTCCATCCCTCAGGACCCTTCCTTTTCTGTTGAAAACCTCATGGTTGCTTCCAGATGAGAAGCGCAAGGTCAAATAAAATCTTGGAGCTAGTGGGAGCCAGACTTTTACCTATTTGAAGAGATGCAGAATAACGTTTTGCTGTACTTTGTTGTCCTGTCTGTGGTATGACTTTTACTAGCCAGTTTGGTGATTGTCCGTAAGGTTTTCTCATCCTGAAGTGTTTTGTTGGATTCATGACAATAGTTAAACTCTCTGTTACTGAGAAGGGGGTAGAGAGATGAATGTTCCTTCAGAGAAGAAAAGGGTTTGCCCTACATTAAAAGCTGTGATTAATGAAATGTTCCAGAAAGAAGCTTTATCTCATAGTCTGTAGCCAGAAGGGCAGAATAATTCGATGCTAGATTAAGACAAGGAAAAACTACAGGTACTGTGAACCTGGTGGGCAATACTGGAAATCCAAAGGGAAGAACTAGAAAACAGCTATTTCTTTTGCACCTCCAGGTTTCCTTAAAAAGATCCATTTGAATTAAGATGCTTTTATAGACATCCTTGTGAAATGAGTTTTTTATAGTGCAGCAGTTTCTTTAGCTGCTTGAATTTATTGCTAGGCTAAGAAAAAGCTTAGTAGGTAGTGTGGGGCATATACAAGTTAATCATTCATCTGCCTTAAAAGCAGTCAATCTGTTTGAAAGCAATGAAGAGTAGGCTTTTTTCCTTCGATTAGAAAGCAGTTACTGGCACTGCTATCAAGACTTTTTCTTAGGTAAAAGGAACCTAATGTGATTACACTCTGTTTTGCTGATAGGCCACAAAAGTGGGGAGGAGAAGGGAAGGAGATGATTCCGTAGTGGCAGGTGCCTGGAAGCTTAGATGTAGTAATCTTCTGCAGTAGTTACCTTCGGTCTGCAAAGCAGCTAGAACTTGAGTGCTAAATAAAATGGGTTTCTGTATTGTAAGTGCCTTTTAACCATAATATGTAACTGCAATATAGACAGAGCATTGGAATGTGTCTGTATGGCTGTGTGCTTCTCTGTCTCAGGCCATTCGTTATTGGTGAAAAAGGTGAACTTTTATAAATATGTAGTACCCCTCTTGTTTATTCAGTCTTTTACAGAATTTCTACTTTAATATGATGGAGAAGAGCTCATTGAAGAAACTAAACTAATCTTTTTGTTGTTCTTGTTATGATTAGCCTCCCATAGTACCAAAAGTATCCAATGATGGGGATACTTCCAATTTTGAAGCTTATCCTGAAGATGACTGGAACAAGATGCCTCCAGTACCCCCTAAAGATCTAGAAATTTTCAAGAACTTTTGAATGCAGCAGCTACACTGGACAAGGTATGTCCAAATGTCAGGAGTCCCCTTCAAAACATTGCAGGTCTGAGAGTGAAAGCCATATGCAGCAATTACACTTTCTGATTCGTAACAGTGATTAATACTCGCTGGCAGCTGGTTAAACCAACATGAATCACAGTAGTAGATAGAGTAATTAAGTGGTTGAAATAAAATATTGTAAAGCAGGATTACATAATGACTGTTAATTTATGTCACAGGCTTTGGTGCTCTACAGTGATGGGATATTCACATACAGATATTTAAGTCCTTCTGTCCTTAAAATTTCTTAAATAGTGTGTTAAAAACAAGTATTCAGATTGATTTGACATATAACAAAATGTGATTGCTCTTGATTGAAAGTCTTTTGTATTTAGAATGAAGACTTTTGTTAGAGGAATAAGATCGTCAGATTAATTCTGTACCCTGAATTCTGTCTTACAACTGTGATAGGTTGCTACTTGTTCAGTCACATACTCCACATTGTATTTTGTGTTCCTTTTTCATTATTTTTTGTCATAGAAACTGGAAAGAAATTGAAGTGTGAAGAGCAAAGTCTGAAGAAAAATGGAGTTCATACATAAATGAAGACTTTCTTTGTGGATAAGAATGATACTGCATTCAGATATGCATATTAGTATATAGTAAATACCTAGAGAGTCGAAGGCAGGCAAGAACAATTTTTTGCTGTAAACATTTGACATTAGTCTAGTAAACTGTAATATTGATAGTCCACTCTGAAGTGGACTCACTAAAATGGTATATTTTAGCATTTTTTTTTTTAACTTATGATTTAGTTAAGTTTCCTGCTATTCCCAGATCCTTTTTGCATAGTTAACTCATAGACTTAATTTTATAAGTTTATACTAAACTTGTGTAATTAAAAGCACAAATTAGTATATATGTATATAAGGAATACAGCTAAAGCACAGGAACTGTGCAAAGATGTAAATTTTTGTACTTTGCAGAGTCTATGATTTTTATTTTTCAAATAATGTTTTTCAAGAAGTTCTCTAGGAATAAAAATCTTAAAAGGATAAATGAGTTTTTCATCATCTTATATACATTTTATAATTCTTTGTAAAAAATTAAAAATAATTAAGTTTTAAAAAAGATTTGTACCTAAAATTTCGAATGCCTCACACTTGCAACCGTAGTGCTTGAAAGCAGAGTACAAGGGCATGTTTTATTGTTGATTAAGATGCATCTTAACTGCTGATTTATTAAGTTCTGCTACAATTATCTCTCTTTACAAAACAGAATATTGAGTGATTATACACTGTCTGAAATGAGATTCCTCACATGAAGACTCTCTGTAAACATGCAATTCAGTGCATACTGATAAAAGGGCTGTAAATGGCTCTTGCAAGAGTTGTTCTCTCTCAAGCTTGCTGTCTTCTCCAAATGTAAAGCATGAGCCATAACAGATTATTTTTCGTTATTGAAATTGTTGTTGTTGAATGCTTGGCGCTTCAGAATATCAGAGGGAAGACTGAAAATATATTAGAGCCTGATTTTTCTGCTCTTGCTTTTGGAAATGTCCTGAAAGTCTCTGCTGTCAGGAATTCCATATGTACGGAGTTCAGACCTTAGAGGTAAGGAGTGTCTTTTTTTCATCCTGTGCTAACATCTTTCTAGCAGCTTGAGTACACTGTATTTAGGAAGTATTTGCAATACTGCATCACTTGAAGTAGCACCAGGTATCAGTATGTGGGTACGTATGTATCTGTGGATGTGAATGCATATAAACATGAAGGTAGATTGTATACAAGTCAGGATCATTTTTTAGGGTTTTTCATGTTCCATATTGTGATACTTGTGTTAATATAGGGGAATTGATTTTTAAGTGCTTAGAGTTCAAAGGTAAAGACATTCTGTCAGATATTGTGGTTTTAGATAACCTCCAGTGAAATTAATGATATTTAGACCAAAAATACTTTTTTCTGAAGCACATCAGCTCACTGGAGCTCCACTACTGTGACTGATGGCTCTACATAAAACTGTTTAAGTAGATCATACAGACAGTTTCTCCCACAAACTGCTCTCCACATTTTTTATCTGAAATGCCATAAGAAATGTAGGCCAAAGATTCATTTTTCTGGACTAAATCCCAAATGCTTATGATGTAGACAACCTAGTAATTACTAATGAAATTACCTTGTTTATAATTCTATGACAGGTCTACCGCTGGGGTCTCATGGAAAAATGACCTTCATTTTCTTCAGTTTAGCTGTAAACAGTACGGAAGCGCTGTTGCGAAATTGCAGTTTCTAGAGTATAATATCTGTTTCTTCCTAAAACAAGTCTAACTTTAAGAGATTGCATTAACTTTTTACAAAAATGCAAAATGTGTAACAAAATCAGGATGCTTCGAAGTGGTAGTTCTGGAATGTCATATAGTCATCTTGTTTGTTATGCAAGTGCTGCAGATTGACGGCTCCAGCTGCCAATCAGTAAATACCATGTAGGAATGTATAATGAAACATAGGAAAATCCATAGAAAATGACAGTTTTAACCTGGTGTAAATACCGTATTCTCTTGAAAAAATGAATCTGGTCCACTATATTTGTATCTGTCAGATTAGTTTCCCAAATTAATCCAAATAACTGAAGCACATAAAACACAGCTTACTTTGTCTAAGGGCAGCAAGCACAGTTCAGGGTTTGGTTTTTCATGTGTAAGCTTAAACTATTTTATGGAAATCCGAGTACTACAAAACCTGTTTCTCATTTAAAAATGTACCTGCTGCAACAAACAAGTGTGCTACGTATTTTTTTTTTCCGATGTTAAGAACTGCACTGTGTTTAAATTTTCAAAGCTGAGGAAATGAAGTTGCATTTTGATGGATGCGCGATACTGGTGGTTAGAAGTTTTGAATGCTTGAATAACAGGAGATAGTGGATTTTCTTTATATGAATCTTATCCATTGCTGGCAGTGGATGCACTGACACTCATTATGGTAGAGACTGAAAAAACTAATATGATCTTATTAGAAATGCTAATCTGTTGATTTTCCAGAGCCATGTGTACATACGCCTATCTATGGACCTCGTCAACGTGCTTTCCAATACAAAATTACTTTCAATTTTTTTTTAATTAAAATCCTTAACTGAAAAAAAAAAAAAAAAACCCTCCAAAACATTTTTGAAGCATTAAGTAATCAGTTATTTTCTCTACAGTCTCGCACTTAATGACCTGTTATTACCTGCCCATTTTATTTATTTCCACAAGTGAGTCTGTTTTAAGTCTTTGCTGGGACTTCATTGCCCACTAACGTAGTTCTGTCTGAGTGCTCACACAGATGTCCCTGGATACGCACTGCACTAAGGACTCTGGATTTATGGGGGGTTTTAAGCAGACTAGAACACTTTTTTTTTTTTTTAATTTTCTACTCAAGTATGGTATTCTCTGAAGTTCATTTTATTATGGTTGCTTTTGTTACCGTGTGTTTTTGCATATAGACTGTTGCAAAAGGACTGTTTTCTTGCAAGAGCCCGTAGGCCTTTGGTATTCTGCTTTGGTGGACAAGAATGTTAAACATTAAAAACAACATTTATTTTTGAGTTTTATATATATATATTTTTAATTGCCCAATTTGAGGTTTTAAGTGATAAACATGCATTGTAAACTCAATTGCCTTGTAACCAAATGATATAGATGCTTCATAATTTCAATGGAGAACATGCTGTAGATTTTCCTGTAAATTAGCTTCATCAATGAATATGTGTGCTACTGAGCTTTAACTAATGTGATCTTCCACTGTAGAAAGTCATTTTTAATTGATGAAAATTTAAACTATGTTTAAATGGATGGACAGGGATTTTGCAGTTTTGAAAGCAGTTAAGATATGGCTGTGCCTCAGCCCATCTGCTTGCCATTCAGAAGAGTCGTGACGCAGTGCTTCCAGTGCTAGAGAATTATTTTTCAGCTTTCAATGACTGTAGCATGATTCCTTTTTGTACTGTACTGTGTACAGACTTTCCATGTTTTGCACTTTTCTATGGCAAACCTTGACTGCATTATAAATACTCTGTTGTGTCATAGGTAGTGATAGTGGTAGCAGGCGTTTGTGTACTGCATAATTGGTTTGAACCGCTAGGCTTGCGAGGTTAACTTGGACTAACGTTGTATGTCGCTGGTTGCTTGCTGTAGCTCACATGCATAAGTACTGTTCAAAGTTACAAAGTCAGCCCTCATTGCACAATGAAAATCACTGTGATCTGTACATAAACCCTAGTAAAATTTTATTGCTGTTTAATTTATGTAATATCTGTCAACTCTGGATTCATTTAATAAACCTTTATATCTTTTGAAGTGTTTAAACCTTGTTTGCTTCCTTTTATGTTGGGAGGAGGTAGAGGTTCTTCATCCAACAAAATGATGGAGAGGCGAGGAGTAGAAAAACAACTGTTCAGGAGTGCAGTCTTTCCAGAGCAAGACACAAGGGATGGAACATATTTCATTTGGCATGGAAGAAGCACCAAAAGTGTATTTTCAAACTCACTTCAGGTAGTGCACTGAAAAAGAAAAGTGTTAATTCAGGCTTCTCATTAGACTTTGATTATATGACCCTAATTGCTTTGACGTTTTCACAGCGTAATGACCTGAACACTGTCCGAAACACTCATTTCAATCCGTTTCTTTAAGCATCAAAAAATATTCTTATGATGTCAGGCACACCTAACTAAAACTTTATTTCATCTTCAACTTCAAAAGTCTGTTTTAACACCAACAGCTAGTGGAATTTTGTTAAAATTCGTTCTCCTGGGTCAATTATGTTTTATTTCTTACCCACTAGATAGCTTAATCTTGCGGAGATAATTACATAGGCAGAGAACCAACTGGATACGGTTTGGACTAGTTAAAGGCTAGCTAAGGTTTTTTTTTTTTTTAACACAGTACTTTGTGTTTTCCTTCTCCCTTGCTTAATTCTAAATTTTATGCATTGACGTTTTTCTCTTTAAACCATTATGTCATGTGCTTCAAGAAACTGCTAATGGAAAGTGAAGGAACACAGCAATGAGTCCTGGCAAGCTTTTAGTCATGTCTTCGACATGAATCAAAAGAACTGCTCAGTTAGAACATACCATATTTTTGAATGTTAGCAAGCGTCCAGGGTGTTTGTAAAGTATTTGGTTTGACATCTGGTTCTTACCCCAGCCTTTTGCCATGTGGTGGAGTTTTTGTTTATTTGTTCTAACCCGAGTACTATATCTTTTTTGACTCCACATATAGCATGGGATCTTATCCAACAAAGGCCATTTTACATACGTGTTCTTACTCATGCAGGGCAGGTAAGTTTTGCTGGTGTGTAACTTCATCTGGACCATACTCACGCAGCCTTACTCACTACTCCCAAATCTGTCTCACTTCCATGGTTCATTAGACCATTTTCCTACAGAACACTGTTAAAACAGCATTTGACAAGAACCCACCCTTCTGCGATCTACTGTTAACCAGTTACAGTATGATCTTACAAGAAATGATTGAAAATAACTGGCACTGTTGCAACTCTGGATTTTGCCCAATGCTTTGTGAAGAAGAATGTACTATGGAGCGCTTCTTTTGTGTTAATTCCTGCTAGCCACTACAATCTCAGCTTCAGAATTTAGACAGCTTTTCACAGGTGTTGTAAAGGCTTTTCAACTGTCCTGGTGGAAGAGCTTAGCTTTCCTTTCTCTCTTCCACTCCTTTCCATCTACCCTTCAAAAAAATGCCACACGTCAAACTTCGTATTTTTCCTTCAAACCAGGATTATTGTAAAATGTCATCAAGATGAATTGTAAGAATTTCTGACAATGTATCCAAATTATTTTCTCATCTTGTGCAGGAATATTCTAAAATATGACAACAGAAAATTTCAGAAGTAGGCAATATTATACCAGCTTTAACTTATGGTACAGCTTTACCTGCGTTGCTGCATTTGTCTCAGTGCCAATAAGAATGAGTTGCTGGGGCAG